TAGAGGCTGGATATATAAGTTCGGTTTTCGGGAATTGATCTAGATGGCTTCGGCTATGTAGAGTAGCCGTAATCTAGCTCCTTGAGGTAGGTTTTTTTTGGAACGTGATATAAAACAGAGAATGCTTCCTCTATTTTGATATAATGTTCACTATCTACCAAGTGTGAAAATGATGAGTGGGTGAGGATAATAATGATCGGTTGTCTGCTTAGTCGAACATGTAAATAGTCTGATAGGTGGTGTCAGATGAGTTATATATTCCTTATCCTTATATTGTTTTTTTTATTGATTGTTCATTGTTGTTGGATTCTGTCGGGTTTTTGGTGTGGAAATATATTTACGTTTTAGTCAGGCTAATCACGTGTTCTTGATCTGAGTTGTGAAGTCCTTAGAATAGACACTGGGAGGGAATCTGGTGTAGATATTCAATGTAAATATATTTCCAGATATTCACACAACAATATTGTTATTATTTTATCTCGATTAACAAGATGAAATTCTCCTACTATGCATTTTATTCATGCGAGTTTTTGCATTTTCATTCCTTGCTATATTACTATTGATTGTTGTACTGATTGTGACTTGACACTTTACTCCAAATCATTTTGACCTTTATTAAATGGCTGGTCTAATTTGTGAATAACACAATTTTGAATTGTATCTATGTCGTAACAGATTCACACGTTCACCATTTTTGACATATAACATTGTCAAATTCATTAATGCCATGCCTTGTTTTGGCCTTTGTAAAAGATCACCATAATTCTGGACTGTAGAGCCTGATGATGATGATGAAGTTATTGAAAACAATTGTTCGCTCAAATATTTTCATTTTTGAATATTCTATGGGGATTTTTAAACTGCTGAACTGTTCCTCCCATTATTATTATTATTATTATTATTATTATTATTATTATTATTTCATTTTCATCCAGTAATTCCTGTCCGTTGTTGTTCTCCTTTATCTCATGTGCAATATACATTCTCTATCTGTTCTCAGACTCATTTTTATTGTGTATTTCGTGCCCCTTTTGTACAAATATTTATTTGTTCAAATTAATAAACAATAACTATACATGATTGGCGTATCTAGTGGAGTAACCGACGTAGTTTAATCCGATACTCGAGAGTATAGGCAAGGTACACAGTGCTATTCGTTATAAATCTATCCTGTGTATATAATAGCTTAAGCTTTATGTTTGTAATTTTGATTGAGATCATGAACTGATAATAATAATAATCTCCACAACCACTATACTGACTTATGTTTTTGTTTGTTCAAGTACTCAGTGGGCATATTTTCGCTAAATAACTTTTTTTGACTTACGGTTTGTGTGTAGTGAAGTCTATCAATAGTAGTTAATATAAATGTTTGGTTAGGTTCATTGTTGATAAATCTTGGACCGAACTATCTACCTCATTTTAAAAAAAGTTTTGTTTTCACTGTAGATGGGAACGTCAAGATGAAATTTCGAATGCATTAAAAGCTGGTATTAGCGTTGTTGTAGATCGTTACAGTTATTCTGGTATTGCTAACACAGCCGCTAAATTTCATCCACTCTCTGAATTTGATTGGAAATGGTGCCGTTCTATGGAGTATGGGTTACTGCAACCAGATTTTATATTTTGCCTTGCTCCAGAAAATTTTGCTGAAATTTCAGTTCGTGACGCATTTAGCGACAAAAAGTTTGAAACAATGGATTTTCAAAAACGAATTCTTATTTATTACGGTCGTTTATCACGTGAATGGAGTCTGAGTTAAGTGAGAATGATGACACAAATGAGCGTGAACCGAGACTCTGGCATTGGATACCAGCAACAGGTCAACTGTGGATGAAACGCACTCATGTATAATGTCGATTATTGATTCTAAATTATAAGACAGTTTCCTAATAAAATTATTTATTCATTATATTTACTTTTGACTATTATTTATTTTGTTGTTAATGATGACTATTAAGAATACCCAATCAAATTGAAGTAGTATCAGTAGTTCATATTGAAATCAGGCACAAGGTGCTAAGCAAAGATGATTCATCGGTTGTTAAGTTTGTGAATATCCATCACCTGGAGTGGTTGGGATGTGTCACGTTTGTCGAATCGCCATCTACTTCGATATGCAGTGGTAGCTGAAGTGTGAGTGAATCAAAAAGCTAGTCAAATTTTCTAGGGATGCCAGATCCCCAGAAATCGCTTGATCAACGTCTTGTTTTTGTAATTTTGGAAATTTGAATTTCTCGTTTCTCTCCAAAAGCGCCATTTCTACCTTCCGATTGTATTTCCCACTTGAAAAGACCCTAAGTGTTGTTGATTCGTCCCCTCTTTTAATATGCTATTTTGTGACGTTTCCTTAGGACATTTTTATGCTGTATATATACGTTTGAGTTGTGTGTTTGTTTTTGTTTGAGATTCTCGGTGCTTGTGGAATATACCTTTTCATCATCTGAACCGGGTCTTCTTCTGGTTATCAGGGTTGGGATGCATCGGAATATTTTAGCTTGTCTTGTTGCTGATCCTTCGTTCCGTCCACCGATTTTAGGTGATCTCCTCATCCCTTCAAACATATTTAAACCAAGACAGTGTCAGTTCATGAAATCATAACTTGTTGACCCAAGTCATGGTGATATCAAGCTATTTAGTTTTATGGTCTGCGCGATGACCTTGGTCAATCGTTAGAGACGTGCAACACGACTCATAATTGGTCACAGGGACTCAAATGCACTCAATGTTCATTTAGATTTTGGCTTCCAGTATCCCTTGCACATAAATTTCTGTTCAATCTTATTGAACCATATCCTTTATTTCCGGTCTTTCTCATTGCTATCACATTGTTTTGATCCCTTTACTACTCATTTTATTCATTTCATCTCGTTTTGACGCGGTGGGTAAATTGAGCTAATGCACGTGCCAGCCCGTATATTGATCTTGACTAACAAAATTATTCTTACGATTTCATACAAGTTATCCCATTTATAAATTAGGATATATTCTTCTGACACGATTGAAAAGTATTCTGACGAAAGCTATTTTGTAGATTATTGAAGTCTAAGTATAGACCGCCTCATGTGTCCTTACGATAAGTATATCTTCCCAATCGACCATTTGTATTACTCTTTAGAAGATAACACTGGTTAATTAACCATACTTGAACTTGATTACGTAGTAATGATTATTCTCAACAATTCATAACTAAGTATGAGAAGACTAAAGCGAAGGAAATGCAGTATGCTACGGTTGAGAAACATGGCTTCAAGGATGATGAAATAACTAGAAAGATTGGTTCTAGATTAAAAGACGTAATAAAAGGATATATACATTACCAACCCGATCTCCATATATCAAACGAATTAAGACGGTTGTTTGTGAACAATTCTCCCTATACTACCTCCAAATGTATCTACCAGTTTATATCTACGCCCAAAAGTACATACATTAGAAGAACAGAAAAGGAGGATTAGTATCCGCATCTCTAAGCACATTTCACAACAGTTTAAACTAGGGGAACACTTTTTAGCATTGTGACTGAACATCATCTGTTTGTCAATGACCATGATGTTTATGTCTCAGAGTCATCTAAGATACTTAGTAGAAAAAAGGGCGTTGAATTTACTGTGGCTTGATGTAGCGATTTCCGTCAAAGATTTAAGCCAAACATATTCCAGTCACCAACCTTGTTTTGTCGTGGTACCTTTAATCATAAATGTTTGTTACTCGTTTCGCATGACACTGATCATTAATCCCCATCTTTATCTGATCTGTGATCAGTCAATTTTGTTTCAAGGGTTACATAAATATCGCATTAATATCTCATCTTTAAATAATTCTGTTACTATGCTCTTAGTTTTCATTCTGGGATATTCTTATCATCAACCTATGAATACTCATGTTATCTAGCGAATAAATATATCTTGCATTTTCCACTAATCTCTGATAAGAACTTATATTGTATGATGAAGTATGTAATCTTATTCTCAATGATGTGAACACCATTATGTTTAAGTTGTAAACAGCTGGTGAGAAATCGCTCAATATGACGACTCCATATTATCTTGTCACTTCAATTGTTTTTGTTTTAGTCTAATTCTTGTAATATAGATTCAAATGTATTTAATGATACTTATGCTTTTGAAAATTTTCTGGGTTACAAATTGATAAATATACAGTAAATTCTTACAATGTGCGACAAAATCGAGAGATGTTAACGGTGTGTTGTATTTGTAAATTTCTAAATTGGTGTAATGACAGGTGTTGCTACTCATTTTCAATTGTTTTTGCCTTAAATTTCATTAGTACTGATACTAGTAATATATATTCTATAGACCAGTAAATATAATCGTCAGAACTTATCGTCGACCCAAATCACTTGGATTAGAAAAGGTCGACCCTAAAAATACACACCGCCTTATCCACGGATATCCGTCTCCAGCGGTAACGTCTCAACAAGTACGGGGCTAACACAAAAATTGCCCATAAAAAGGTCGTGTGTGACCGACCTCAAGCAGTTGTCCCTTGGGCACTGCGGTCACGCTCCCAGGTTACTAAGACCACTTCTAATCCTATTTCGTTTTCAGGTACCTCCAAAGAACCCATCCACGTGTGGGGCAACCGGGAAGTGAAAACCGCCCTCATACCTCTAACAGCACTTAAGACCACTGTATTCATAATCAACCTCCCTCTTCAATTCCTATTATTCCCCCTACATCGACTTCAAACTCTAAACTTCTTTTTTCGGCTCCCTCCTCAAGTGTCACCATAGCCAACGATTCTAGTGCTCAAAATACTGTCCCAGGTCTACTGAAATCTCGCTCCAAACTACACATCAGAGCATTCAGCATACGCACCCGGTGTCGAATCGGCCAACAGCCTCGTTGGCTAAAACCATATAATTTCGTCCCATTGATGTATGCTGTGTCTCCGAAACACGCATACAGGATCCTTGTGTAGTCATTAATTTGACCTCACCTAGTCAAAATGGAGAACCGACGAGATACACCCTCCGTGTATCTGGCGACGCGATGGATAGTTCTCGTGGACTGGCAGGTGTAGGCATAGCGCTAAGTACAAGAGCGTAACAAGCATTATTAGAGTGACCGCCGTTAACAGTCATTTATGTGCTGTTCGGCTAAACGGCTCCGTAAAAACTTGGAAGGATAGGAACACACGTCATCGCCTTTTTTCGTCATTTCTGCATACTCTTCCACTGACTGCAGCCCGGATGAAGTGAAAGATGACTTTTGCAAAAGCTTTTTGAGCTTCTTCATAGAGCTAAACGTTCAGACATAGTGCTCGCAGCGGGTGACTTTAATGCCCGCGTAGGTAGCTTAAACCAAAAAGAAAGACATTTAGGTGAGTATTTTAGTATCTCAGCCAAGCGAACCCCTAATGGTGATCGTCTGCTGCAGCTGTGCTCCGACAAGCGTTTATTTTTAGCAACACTAATTTAAGCACCAAACCAACGATGGACTCGAATAGGTCATATTGCCATCAATCGTTGTTGGAGAGGGTCGATAGATTGTCGCTTGTCCTGAAATACCCGCTTGGACTCCAACCATGCTCTAATAAGGACACGCATCTGCTTGCGCCTCACTGGACTTAGGAAAGCCACATTACGAAGTCCTATTAGAATTGAATTGAGTGACGAGAAAGCCGAAAGTAGGATCTAGAAACAACTGAGGTCACAGTTAAGCAGTTCTGAAAACGAGGATGACCCAGATATTGCTTGGAAAGACATAAAACAGCAGCGACATCTATTAGTGACTTAAACCAAAGGGTCACATAAAGCCATTGAATTTCTGTTGAGTCTATTGCACTGGTAGATTCTCGTAAACTCATCCCATCAGGCTATGAACACGATGAAGAGCGACAATAAATCAGATCTAGGTTAACAAAAGTCTAAGAAACGACCGTGAGCAGTGGTGGGCAACGAAAGCAAAAGAGATGGAAAAGGCGGCGACTATAGGGAACACAAGACAGCTTTACAGACTAATAAAAGAAACTGGAATTAATAAGTCAAGTGTAAGTCAGGCTATTTCGGAAAAAGACGACACTCTCATCTGCTCCCAGTCCAGACGTTTAGAACGATGGGCGGAACATTTCAGAGAACAGTTCAGCTGGCCTTCAGCTACTCTACAACTACCCTCCATTCCAAGACAGTCTGAATGGAACATTGAAGTAGGTCCCCCAACTCTAGCAGAAGTTCAAAAGGCTATAGTTAATCTGAAACGAGGAAGGGCAGCTGGTCCAGATGGATTGGCTCCAGAAGTCTTTAAGGATGGTGGTCCAATTTTAGCGATTAGGTTGACTAATATTTTAGCTAAGATCTGGGAATTAGACGTTATCCCATCTGACTGGTCGCAATCACTTATCGTCCCAATATATAAGAGAGGGTTAAAATCATCCTGTGACAACCATAGAGGGATTAGTTTAACTAATATAATATCTAAAATACTAACCTCGATAATTATCAGACGCCTAACTAAGACTCGTGAACTGCAAACACGAGAGAACCAAGCTGGCTTCAGACCTGGTCGTGGCTGCATCGACCACATATTCACCATTCGTCAGGTTCTAGAACATAGGCATACTTATCGGCGTCCGACAATGGTGGTCTTTCTTGACTTAAAAGCAGCATTTGACTCGGTAGACCGCGAGACTCTGTGGCAGTGTCTGTCATTGAAAGGCGTACCTCAGAAGTACATAAACCTTGTGAAGGCTCTTTACTCGAACACTACCAGTCGAGTCAGAGCTTATGGCGAACTGTCATCTGCTTTTGCAACCTCAAGTGGTGTCCGTCAAGGCTGTCCACTTTCTCCATTTTTGTTTAACTTCATCATAGACCTATTGATGGAAATAACACTCTCGTCGACTGAATTCTCGGGTATTGATCTCCTTCCAGGAGGTCCACTTATCGACTTAGAATATGCAGATGACATAGTCCTGTTTGGTGAAGACGCTGACAAAATGCAGAGTCTTTTGGTAGCACTAAGCAACAATGCCAGAATGTTTGGAATGCGCTTCTCTCCCTCTAAATGCAAGTTGTTGCTTCAGGACTGGTCTGCGTCAACACCTGAACTAAGGATAGGGAGTGAAGTAGTCGAACGCGTTGACAACTTCACTTATCTTGGAAGTCTGATCAGCCCTAATGGGCTGGTATCGGACAAAATCTCAGCACGGATTCGAAAAGCTCGTTTGGCTTTTGCCAACTTACGTCACCTTTGGTGAAGGCGAGATATCCGTCTATCAATAAAAGGACGAGTATACTGCGCGGCAGTCCGTTCTGTTTTACTTTACGGCAGCGAAACATGGCCTTTAAGGGTAGAAGACACCCGTAAGCTACTAGTATTTGACCACAGATGCCTTAGAAATATTGCTGGCGTCTGTTGGGATCACCGGGTAAGTAGTAGTGAGGTTAGACACAGGGTATTAGGGAATGATGGTAAATCAGTTGATGAGGTTGTGAATCTTCATCGACTGAGATGGTTGGGCCACGTGTTACGTATGCCTGAACACCGATTACCACGACGTGCAATGGTAACCGGTGTAGGGGATGGTTGGAAGAATGTTAGGGTTGGC